CCTCCTCACCCCGAGTTTGCTGCCCCGCCACCACCGCCGCCCCCTCCAGCAGTCGAATATGCCAGCGTGCTCCCGCCTCCGCTGCCGCAGCCGGGCAATGGGAGTGCGCCACCACCCCCTCCACCGCCACCACCTCCTGGTCCACCGCCTCTGTCTTCCAGTGGCCTGGATGGTCCCCCACCCCCTCCACCACCCTCAGACACCTCCTCCTCCAAGCCCAAATCATCCTTGCCTGCAGTTAGTGATGCCAGGAGTGATCTACTTTCAGCTATTCGTCAAGGTAAGGTTTTGTCTCAGTACCAACTTTCTCCTTTGGCTCTGGAAAAACCCCACAGTATCCATGTGAGAGCACTTGGGGGCTGCCTCGCCAGCAGTGGTGCAACTGCCTCGCTGCTTGAGACCCGTCCCTTGTGGTCCCTCCTTGTCTGCCCACCCTGATGACAACCTCACTAGGTTTTATGCTTCCACCTGCACCTTTGGAGACGGCGGTGCTGGAATTGGTGTGGTCTAAGTTTGCGAATGGATGGAACAGCAGTGGTGTAACCCCTCAGAGGAGCACAGAAACTATTCGCTTCCCATTCCACCTGCCCACCTAGCCTGTCTTGGCTGTCACTCACCATTGGTGTTATCCCACAGCATGTCCAATACTCACCCGCAGAGGACAGGCTGCCTTGCCTGACAAGATTGTGTCAAAGGGATGGCTGCTTTGGAGATCTCAGTGTGACCAAAGCCTTTGCATGATCCCCTCTGTTGCCTTCTTCCCAACAGGCTTCCAGCTCCGCAAGGTGGAGGAGCAGCGGGAACAGGAGAAGCGGGACGTTGTGGGCAATGATGTGGCAACGATCCTGTCACGCCGCATCGCTGTGGAGTACAGCGACTCCGAGGACGACTCTTCGGAGTTCGATGAGGACGAATGGTCGGATTAACCATGGTCCCGTCCCCTTCTTCCCCTTTTCTTCTGGGTTAACATCTTAAAGAATCAGGTGGCCCAACCTTCCACCACTTTTTTTTTCATTCTGTACCCAAAGATGTGCCAAGGGTTTTCAGACAACCAGCAGCATGTCTCCCCTCCTCCTTCTCCCCCTCTGGCTTTGGCAGGACTTTGTGCTCTGCCTTTCCAAAAGGTCTCCTCACGGACACTGAGGATGCGGTGCTGGGATTTAGCTGGAGGGGGTGTAACGGTTGCTTATTTAAGAGAGAGCTAAAGCTCCAGGTTCTCGATGCCACCAGGCAGAGCACATATAAACCCTCAGTCCTGAGGGATTTTTAAAGTAAAGATGGATGATCCTGTTGCGGCCGCGTGGCCTTTCAGATGAAGGACATTTTCAGCTAGTTTTCTCATTGCAACAGCAGACAGTTGATCTGATGGCTCTTCCTTTCCAGTGAATACTGGTAGTGCTGCAAGAAAATGGGCTTTAAATGTCTGTTCTCTGCTGCATCCCACTGTCAAATAATCAGTTTTTGTCAACAGTGCACAATTCTTTCCCCTCTGACCCCCTAGTATTATTTCCAGACTACCTTGCATAGGGTGCGCTTCGTGGCTCTAGGGCTGTGGAGTGCATTGGGTGCAATGTGAGGAGGGACTTTTTTTTTTAATTTTAAAAGCTGCCTTTACCTTCCTCAAATCTCCTGGACTGCTTCAACGGGTCTACCAAAGGAGACTTGCACAAAGGGATGCAAAGCCGGGGCAGAATGGTTGCTTGGCTTCCTGCTTCGGGGAGAGCAGAGCCACTGCCCCACTGAGACACATCTGCGTGGTCAGCACGGAGCGGTGGCAAAACTCCGCTTTGCTGATTTCTCCAATTCATGCTGAGAGTGTGTTTAAAAAAGAAGAGTGTAAAAAAAAAAAAAAAAAAAAAAAAAAAGAGAGAGAGAGAAAAAAAAAACAAAAAAAGAGTGTGTTTAAAAAAAAAAAAGGTGCCTAGAGCAGGGAGTTGATGTGCGGAAGGATTCTCGGAACACCAGGCACTTTGATCCTCTTTGGCCTGTTAGGGCAGTGCTGCAGTCAGTTTGAAGAGGTGCTTTTTCTAGCAGGGTGACCATACTCTTTACACAGGGACTTGAGTAGCAAAAGTGCTGGTATTACCTTTGCTTCCTCATCCCTTCCACCTAAGGAGGGGAGTTCGTGTGCCTAAAAAAATCTTGTGTGTGAACTGAGTTGCCCATCAGTTACATTAGACCTAACCTACGTCTTTTTCCCATAATTTTGTTACTATAATTCATTAGTTAATTTTAAGAAAACATTTCTTCTCCTCACTAGGCCTATGAGTTCCCAGGCTGCTCACTACAGATACAGTACTGGCAGGGGGAGAAAATGGCGAACTTGAACTAGCTGACCGAGGTTTTTATTCCTGTTTTGTATTATCTTACATAGAATATAAGCATATCTTGGAAATCTAGAAACAAATACCCTTGATACTACAGGTATGTATTTTAATTTGGATGTGACTTGGTCAGGGTCATGCAAGAAAGAATTCCAAAGCCTTTTGAAGATCATGGGTCCAGCTGCTGTGGGGTGGGACCAGCTGCATGTCCCATTAAGAGCAACCTCCAACCTCTTTGCCTTTCCTATTGTAAAGTATTTTGCCAGCCTGTGCCTGTTCTTTCTTCTCTGGCTTGCCTCGTTTAATGATGTTGCTGATACCTGGAATGCCAGGCCCAGCCTGAGGCTGCCAGGTTGCTGAAAGTCCTTCTTGGGGTTTGATTGATGGCTTCAGTTTGTGCCACTGAGTTCTTTCTCGTGTATGTGTGCGTGCGCATTTTTAATCTTTGACAGAGCAGATCAGGGCCTGGAGGATGGGCTTTTCTGGGGTGTGGATCAAGCTGAGATCCAGTGCGACCCTGAGCACAATCAGGAGAGATTTACTGGGCTGCTACACCATCAGATTTTTGTCTGCAAATCAGCTGCTAGGCAGGATGCAAAGGGCGTAGACAGTGAGGCATCCCAATGGGCTGGGAACATCTGAGCAGCGCTAGTTCCAGGTTCTGGAAGAGGGAACAAACCCCTCAAGTGCCAGTGAGCCGTCGTGCAGTGGAGGGACTTGGAAATGCAAACTGATTATTGCTGCAAGCTGAGGAAGGGGGGTTAGAGGAGAATCACTGCCTCTTGTTTTTCTGCTCTTTCTGTAAGCATCCTCCTCTGGCTTCTCTCAGAGATGGGTTCCTGGGGAAAACGGACCTTTAAGCTAACCCGGGCTGACAGCATTATCACACAGGGAAGCGAGGAGCTCGCAAATGCCAAACCTGGCTTAATTTGAAATTGCCTTAACTAGACTTGGCCCCTGTTGGGAAAGGGGAGCGAGTATTCCTGTCGTGCGGAATACAGAAAAGTGCCATATTCTCTCTGACCCAGATGGATGGTCTGTCAGGCAGGGCCGTGCCTCGGGGTGTTAGGGACACGGTTGCCCCACGCGCTGCCTGTTGCACAAGGATGCTGTGTGGGCGATCCGGCATGGCCCCGGGTGGAGTCGGCTCCTCCGACTGCCTCGCCTGCTTGCAAGGCCCTCCTGGCAGCGGGAGGGACGCTGCTTTGTCCGTGCAAGCCTGCTGTAACCACCCTCTGCTTTCAAACTCTTGTCCCGAGGTGAGAATTAAAACTGCTGGATCCTAAATGGAAGGGTTGTGGACAGGTAGGGAAGGTTGGTTGTGGTTTTTTGTTTTTCTGTTTTAGTTAGTTTTTTTTTTTTTAATCTCCTATGACTGCAAAAAGAAGTGGTTGTGAGCCTAGTGTGGAGATCCCTGAGAAACAACTGGTGTAAAGTGACCGTCTTTGAGTATCGTTGCAAAATCGCAGAGCACTGGGCCACCAAGTAAGCTTAATATTTCTTAAACCAGTAGGGGAAGAGGAGAAGTGCCAAAAACAACCTTAGCAAGACAGAGCTGCTGTGCTGTAACTGCAGGGCTGCTGCCCCATGTAGACCGAGGGCCTGTGCCGGACTCCCCTGCCATCTTTGTCATTTCGTGTTAACTTACTCCTTCCTCCCTTTTTTCCGCATAAGGCTGGGTTGAACGGCACGCCGGGCGAGCCTCAAGCATTTCACAAAGCCAAAAAGCAAGAGCTGGCAGCTGGGGTCCTCCCCGTCTTTCCATTTCAGCCCAACCCGTGTCCATACGGAGACGCAGAGCCGGAGCAGCCATTTCGCCCGTCCTGGGAGCCGTTTGCTCGGGGCGTGCTCGCTCCCTTCCCGCAGACGGCGCGTTTGGGCAGGCCGCCGCTGCCTTCCCCTTCCCGGCGCCGCGCTCCTGGTTAAACATTCTCCCGGTGTCCTCGCCCGCAGTGCTTGGCTGCTGCTCCCGGCAGCCTTTTCCCCCGCCACCCCCCTTCCCACGCTCGCAGGGAAAGCCTCGTCCCGGCTCTCCGGGCTCAGCCTGGAGCCTCATCCGCAGTCGGTGACCTTCACTGCTTTCTCCTCTCCTTATCAGACCCAAAGCACCAGACCAGATCGAGGGAAGGGGATCCTGGAGGTTGCAGATGGCTGAGAAACTGTGCGGAGTGTCGTTTCAGGGAAAGGATATATATATATATACCCACTTTTTTTTTTTTTTAAGTCGTTGAACTTATTTAACGTGCCTCTTTTGACAGTACCTGCCCTTGACGGGCTCCGGCGAGGAGCTGGCTGGCAGGGCCCGGCGTGGGGCAGATGCAGCTGCCCCAGGTCAGGTTTCATTGCTGTTGGATTTCGGGGGGTGCTTTCTTCTCTTCCTTTTTGAACAAAGCCTTGAAGTGGGAAGTGGATCCGATATTTTTATTACCGTATTAACATTCATTTTAATTAATTTCAGAAACTAACCCATTTTTCTTCCTGATTAGAATGTCATAGAATTAGACGAGCTGTAACCCTCCTGAAGTGCCTTATTTTCCTACATGATATAAATATATTTATAAGAGTAATTATTTCACTTGTATCTTAGGGGTTTATTGCTGAGCAGGAGATACGGTGGGAGGAGAGATGGGAAGTGCCCTCCAAGGACCCACCAGGCCGGGGTTGGAAGGGCGATGTTTGACGGATGCTCTCAGGGTTGCAGGGGGTTACTCACTTCAGACCAAAGGAGTTTCAATGGTGAAACTCTGCCAAAAAAAAAAAAAAATTCAAACAAAAAAAAAAACCCCACCCAAAATCACCCTCATGAACAAAATACTGTAGACTTGTTTGGTTTTCTTACCCCTGCAAAATAAACACTGATGGCCAGACTCTGCCGCC